TGAACAGAGAAAATGTTATTTTAGAGCCAGGAATGTCTGCATTGTTCATTTTGGACCTTATTTTGAAATTATCATGAAATTGACCAAATTGCAAATTTCTGACCACGTTATTGGATAGTTGAAATCAGTAAATGGGCAGTTTCTTGTACTCAATCGATAAAAAAACGGAGTTTTAAAGAAATAGCTATAAGTTTGGTCGACTGGAACAATGGAATTAGCCGAAAGTAGGGCACAAAGTGGGTGAAATCGCCGATTTGTGAATATCGCCGAGGTCACTAACTTCGCTAGAGCATAATTCCATCAGTTTTCCATCAAATTTCGTTTTTTTTTTTTTTTTTGTATCATTACAATCAGGAAAAGATTCTCTACCATTTCATAAGAAAAAAATAATTTTTTTTTTTTGAAACTGCTACACCAGGAGACACCTCAGGATTGGGGATTGCGACAGTCAAGGGGTTAAAATCCTTTCTTCTGTCCCTTTCTTAAAAATCCTTTCTTATGTCCCTTTCTTAAAAATCTTTTCTTATGCCCCTTTCTTAAAATCCTTTCTTATGCCCCTTTCTTAAAATCCTTTCTTATGCCCCTTTCTTATATCCCTGTCTTAAAATCTTTTCTTTAAACCCTTTCTTAAAATCTTTTCTTTAACCCTTTCAGGGTCCAGAGGCCAAATTTCAAAGTGCACACCAGGGTCCAAGAATTTAAAAAAAAAAAAAAATTGTGTTATTTTTTCATATGAAATGGTAGAGAATCTTTTTCTGAAGGTAATAAAACAAAAACTATGAAATTTGATGGAAAATTGATGAAATTATGCTCTCGCGAATTTTGATGTGTCAGCGTTATTTATGAATCGGCGATTTTGCCGACTTTGACTCCCATTTTAGGCCAATTACATTATTCCAGTCGATCAAATTCTTAGCTATTTCACTAGTATTACTTCTATTCTATCGATTGAGCACAAGAAATCAACCAGTCAACTGTTTCAACTACAAAAAGTGATCGGAAATTGGTAATTTGGCCAATTTAGTGCAAAGTTCAAAATATTCCAGTTTCAAAATAGGGTCCAGAATAAACAATGCAGACATTCCTGGCACTAAACTAACATTTCCTCTGTTCATTAGTTATGTTTTCAGGCTTTACAAATGAATTCCATTTTGATTTTTTATTCACATAATGAATTTTTATTCATACCATAAAATAGAAGATTTACTGTTATGTAATATTGTAATAATTGTATAAATATCATCACCACATTTGTGAATGTATATTAGACCCACCAACTGGCGTGTATTAGACATGTGAGGTCGTTTGTTTTCTCTTGAACATTGGCAAAAATTTAACATTTCTCCTACTTCGAGCTCGGTTTCAAGCCATTTCCAGTACTAAAACCAATCAAAATCATCTCTATTTCTGTAATATATCTTCCATTCTATCAAATGAGACCAAGAAATTGCAAATACAACTATAAAAACATACAAAAAAACACTGCAAGTCGCTGTTTTAATAAAAAATCACGGTCTCAGTTGTTTTCTCTCATTATACACAGTGTACTGCAGGATTTGTTTTATGTGGTGCACACATACCACATATATGTATTCTCTCATATCTAGGCCCAAATTTACCACTCACAGCTTATCAGAGTGAGCTGTGCTCATGGCGTAGATCTACGGTTTGGACCTTGAACGTAAAGCCTTAGATCTACGGCATGGACCCTGAAAGGGTTAAGTCCTTTCTTAAAACCCTTTCCTAGGTATTTCAAAACCTCTTTTCTCTGTCCTTTTCTTAAAGCATTATCTTATCTTCTTTATAGTTCTTTCCTATGTCTCTTAAGTACACTAAGCTGCCAATGACCTAGATTTACACCAACCAGGAAAAATGCCATTGACATAAAACTCCTGGAGTTTTTCGACTCACTCACTGCCAGTTCAATCCCTACCCATACTGTGGTTTGTTTGCAATCATGTCATTATGATTTCGTGAGCCATTGACTTAAATTTACACCACTTATCTAAAATGGCCCCACTTGGCCTGGTTGGTCCCTCATTAAAGAAAATAGGTCTGGCCCATAGATATGCACAGTATAAAAAATTCTGTGTTGTGTGCAGTGCATTGTGGGATCCAGAAAACACCATTTCCTTAGTATTATTGGACAGTAAATAGAAGTGAAGTTCTATAAGAAAATACAGTGGAACCTCGGCTTAGGAAAGCCCCACCATGCGAATTTGGACCATTTACAAAGTCACACTAACAAAAAGGAGAGCAGGATGGGTATATACATGTATAGGCAGGAGGTGGTGGTAGTAGTAGTGGAGGTGGAAGGAAGTAGTGGTGGGGAGGTGGTAAGAGTAGGAGGGGCCAGTCAAATACTAAGAAAGAGGAGCACTGCAAGGGAGCTAGGTGCCCACAGAGGGTAAGAGCAAGAACACCGAGGGGGGGCGGGAACAAATAAATAAATAAAAGGAACAAATACACAGGGTAGAAGAAAGACAACCCAAAGGAGAAAAAGGAAAGAGGAAAAGGGGAAGAGGGAGAAGAAAAAGGAGGAATCGGGTTAGGTCACAAATGTTCTGAAGTTTGGAGCATTTTACAATGTAGTGGGAGAGGAAGGCATCTACGGAGACAAAGCCACGACTAAGATTCATACAAGGAAAATTGTGTATTGGGGAGGAATCAACCAGACGGCGACTGTTAAAGTTGGAAGTAGGGAAGACAGTTTTAGCAGAAGTCCAGTCGATAGGATGGCTGTAATCTCTGACATGACAGAAAAGAGCATTGTTAGTGTCGGCAAGCCTAACACTATTTTTGTGCTCCCTAAGTCTCTCAGAAAGAAATCGACCAGTTTCTCCAAAGTATTGAAGAGGACAGGAGGAAGAAGAAATAGAGTAGACACCAGGAGCATCTGTAGAGGGAGGAGAGATATGAACGAGATTAGTGCGAAGAGTGTTAGTCTGGCGGAAAGTAAGCTTGATGTCTAAGGAAAGGAGAGAGTTGTTGAGATTAGAAAGACCGGAAATGTAGGGAAGGCAGAGGACAGAAGAGTTCCCAGGAGTAGAGAGTTTCGAAGAGAAGAAACTACGTTTAGCATGTGAGCAGGCAGAGTCAATGAAATGGGAAGGGTAGCTAAGACAGGAAAATGAATTATGAAGAGTGTGATTTCGTAAATGGTCCAAGTCGGACTGAAACGTCATTGTTATAATAATAATGATTATTAATATTATTATTATTGGTAGTAGTAGTATGTACATGGTGAGGGGCTCTTGATCTAGGGAATTGGATCTGTGCTCCAGGTCCCTAAATTAATAATAATAATAATTATTATTATTAGTATAATACATTTTTTTTTAACAAATCGGCCGTCTCCCACCGAGGCAGGGTGACCCAAAAAAGAAAGAAAATCCCCAAAAAGAAAATACTTTCATCATCATTCAACACTTTCACCACACTCACACATAATCACTGTTTTTGCAGAGGTGCTCAGAATACAACAGTTTAGAAGCATATACATATAAAGATACACAACATATCTCTCCAAACTGCTAATATCCCAAACCCCTCCTTTAAAGTGCAGGCATTGTACTTCCCATTTCTAGGACTCAAGTCCAGCTGTATAAAAATAATATAAAAATATTACGTATGTACTAATAATAATGATAATAATTACGTATAATAAATAATAATAATATTATGTACATACTGCATATAATTTAGTTTTACAACACCACCACAATGGTCACCAGTGTACATGTGCTTATGGAGCTACCCTCACGGTGCAAGGAATTCTCGTGATTTCCTTACTTTTCGTGCAGTTAATTTGCCAGATTTCTTTCTTCTAACCATGGGTAATAAGAAAGCAAGTGCAAAGGACAGTGCCGAGAAGAAAAAGAGGATGATTTGCATGGAATTAAAGCAAGAAATCATTAATAAGTACAGACCAGGTATGTAGTGTAATGAGATAAACATAAAAATTATATAGAGACCACTTGTGCGACCACAATCCTCCTCCCTTCGCCGTCCACGTAATGACGTATTTAATTCATTCTAGAGTATATATCATGTTTCTGTGTTATTTATATTGTTTATTATGTCATATTAGATGAATTGTGACAAATAAATAAGCCGTAGAGTTGATATTAGGGTTATTTTGTCATGCCTCCTGAGAGCAGGAATTCAGCCTGAACAGATTAATTGTATTTCAGTTAATTTAAATGAGAAAATTGACCCAGCACACGAACAAGTCCACAGAACGGATTAAATTTGTAAGCCGAGGTTCCACTGTATACAACACAATAATGAATTGGAATGGGCTACATTCACCCATTCATATATCTGTAAGCATTACTACACTATTGCAGTTTTACTCACTCTTGTCTCATTTCACTTCTCAAGTCAGGGAGAATGTTTTGGCAAGATATACGTAATCTTTTTTTTTTTTTTCAAAATCGTCGGCCCTGGGGGCACGTGTATTTTAGACCCTTCAGCAGTTTAAGGGTTGAAATGCCTTTTCTTTGTCCTTTTCTTATGTACCTTTTCTCTGAAAGTGGTTTTCACTGAAACAGATTTCCTATATGTCTTATTATATTTTGTTTACAAATTTCAGATTTTAAGGTTTTGTTTGGGGTAAAAAAATTTATATTTACTGAGTAAATATCCTTTGTACTGATAGACATTCAACTGCTATGTGTATGTATTTAACCAAAGATTTAATATGCATTCTCTTGTAAAAGTTCTTCTATATTGTGCAATTTTTTTGCAAATGTGTTTGAAAAATTTAATTGAAAATTGAATAGCATGTACATGAAGGCCTTTTTCAGGTGCATTCATTATTTTTTCTTCTTTTTTTTAATTGCATTTACAAAAAAGTTGCCTATATAAATGTCTTTATAAAGGCTAGTGTTCCCTAGTGTATCACAGGTGATTACTACACACTTCTGATATTTATTTTTTATACATATTTGTGCATATTTTTCTTGGAGATTTCCGTAATTGTTACTAATTGAATGTAGAAACACGAGGTGCAGCACTGAGATCAGTGAGTTTGCTGGAGACCGGGACTCAGCCTGCAGAAGACCGCATGCGCTCGGTCTCCGTCTCGGGTGTACCTCCACATGTATGTCTCCCACGAATGGCAAACAAACTTGGGAGTAAGTTTGTAATCACAGGAAAGTTGTGTGCGTATGCTAATACCTAGTAAAGTCCAGTTTAGACGCTGCCAGAAATGACTTGCTTAGACTGCACTCTAGTACTAGTAGTCATTGTTTGATCTCACAATCATCATATATACGTACTAGTATTAATCAGATCATTAATATTTTAATTTTGTTGCATAATAATGAAATACATGAATTTTTTTGTGTAGCAGATAGTTATGGGAGGTTATGCTGCTCCACTGGACTTTTTTGCATTTCTGATTAGCATGCTATATTAACATAATGCATGTTTATTTGCATCATAATATTTGTTGGTTGTAAATTCTAATATATAAATTTAATTACTAAAAATGTTTTGTGTTGCAATATTTTTTTTTTTTTTTTTTTTAATTTTCTTTGGTGTGCATCATAGGTAAAGTGACTAGATTTCTGGAGTTAAGAATTGAACAGCTTTTGATTAATGGAGAAGTGAATTAATGATCTGTTGTTAAATAAACATCAGTATAATTTATTTAAGTTTACAACATAAATAATAATTTAATCAGTTTTCTAAACTGTGAAAATGACTTTAATTTTCGTGCAGTTTATGGGATGAAATCTTAGTAACTCAGAAGTGGATTTCTGAACATTATAGAAGTGGGGAGGCAGTGGCATAAAGTGACAAGTGGTAATGCAGCAATAAAAGGACACCTTTGTTTTACAATGTTTCACTCACAGTTGGATTTTTCAAGTACAGTCAACAGTCAATTGAACCGACTTGTTACAGTAAGTCTTCAACTTACATGCACATAGGGGACCTCCTGAATTATGTATAATATTCATAATACAGTAGGTCTTCAACTAACGAACATGTTGGGGGAACTCCTGTATTGTATATAATGATGACCTGACGAACTGTTGGAGTGTGAGCAGGGTAATATTTTGTGAAGGGATTCAGGGAAACCAGTTAGCTGAACTTGAGTCCTGGAAATGGGAAGTACAATGCCTGCACTTTAAAGGAGGGGTTTGGATAATGGCAGTTTTATAGGGGTATCTAAACTGTCATATTTGAGCGCCTCTGCAAAGACAGTGATTATGTATGAGTGATGGTGAAAGTGTTGAATGATGAAAGTTTTTTCTTTCTTTTTGGGTCACCCTGCCTTGGTGGGAGATGGCCGACATGTTAAAAAAAAAAAAACAGAAGATTCTCAATGTGTTCATAAGTTGAGGACTTACTGTACTGGAGAATAGATCGTTAATAATGGTGACCACAGGGGAAACAGATGAGATTGTTTTGCTGTGATCATAACAGTAATGGACAATTATGTAACTAACAAATCAGTTGGCCAAGCTGATTTTGTCTGTTGTGTCTGAATAAGTTGATCCAGCGGATTTTGTTACGTTTGATCAGAGTTAATTAACTTGAGGTTTTACTATACTTGGTAAAGTCGTTGCGGATGAAAAGGTGTAAAATAAGAGTCTACCCACTTAGAAAGTTCTTTACTTTCCACCATTATAGAATTATGAACAGGTTTCCTTAAGCTAATTTATGTTTCTAGTAAAACCTTGAGGTTTAAGAGTAAGAGTTGAAATTCTTCAAGTATCCACAACTTATTCTTCTGTGAGAAGGGATTTTAAATAGATGAATTAGTTCCAGGAGATGTAATATTATTTGTAGTAAATTAATTGTCACATGTGCTTGTGATTGATTTCTCGGTCTCTGCAATGAGTGAATAATTCCCCCCCAGCATTGATCTGGCAAAAGAAAAATGCAGTATAAACAAGCATAGATACAGTACAATGGTTTAACAAGATTGGATGACATTTCCAGTAGGGCTCTGCATATTCGGCACCATCTTTTTGGTGCTTTATGTTTTCGTTGGCTTTCATTTGAGCTATTGTGCATTATGTTTGGTGATTTTACCACTTGTCAGTCGTTTCTGCGCAACAGTTGTGTAAGGGAAAGGTGATCGGTGCCATATTTTAAGGTAAGTATTGTATGTACTGCATATTTATTTTACTTTTTTACCTGTTTTTTATGCTTAGCTGTATTGAACACTTAATATATCATAGTGTAAACATGTTAACAGGCATTTTAGACGCATTCAAAAATGAAAAAAAAAAGACGCTCTTCCACCCCTTGCCAATTTTTGCTTACTGCACAAGGTCGGGGACCTAAGAGCCATATAAACAGGGCCCTCTTTTACAGGTGGGCCCTGTTTATACAGCAGGGGTGGTTTTGGGCTACTGCTGTAAAGTGAAAATTGTTGTAAAGTGAAACTTAGCCTTTTTGCACTTTCAAATGTATATAAAACCTTGATAGCATGTTTACGCTAACATGTATTAACCCTTTGGGAGTCGAGACCCCTGATTGCAAACTTGCTCTCAGGGTCGAAGAATAAAAAAAAAAAAAGAAAAAAAATTTTTTTTTTTCTTATGAAATGATACAAAAAATTTTTTCTTAATTTTGATGAAAAACTTACAGAATTACACCCTCGCAAAATTAGCAGTCTCGGTGATATTTATGCATTGGCGATTTTGCCCACTTAGCACCCTCCTTTTGCCCAATTCCATTGTTCCAGTCGACCAAACTCATAGCTATTTCACCAGTATTCCTTCTGTTCTGTTAATTGAGTACAAGAAACTGCCCATTTACCTATTTCAACTACCCAATAAAGTGATCAGAAATCGATAATCTGGCCAAGAAACCAAGAATACAACTATAAAAATCATACAAAAATGCACAGCAAATTAGCTATCTTAAACCAAAAATACAGTTGCAGTTTTCTTTCCATTATGCACTGCTTTCTGCATGATTTTTTTATATGGTGCACACTTAACGCATTCTCTGATACCTAGGCCCAAATTTACTGCTCACAGCTTATCTGAGTGAGCTGAGCTCATGATATAGAACTACGGGACAGACCCTGGCTCCAAAGCAGTAGAACTATGGGACCGACCCTGAGCAATAGGGCTGGGCCCAAAAGATGCATATATAGCACATGCATTACTTACCTTAAAATATTTTCAGCCTTTGCTTATAGTGAGTGTGGAATATATTTATTGTAGGAAGTCTGAATAAATGAAGAATGGGTATACAGTGGAACCCCGAGTTTCGAACGCATCAACTATCGAGCACTTTGAGTTTCGACTGCTTTTTTTCGCACCAGTTTTGTTTCGAGTATCGAACGTGCCTCGTGTTTCGAACCGCGTACCAGACCTGTTTGCCTGCCCGCAAAGGCGTCGTGAGCCAGTCTGGCTTTGTTCATGCTTGAGTGAACACTAACTTGTGTGCTCATGTAAATATTTCACAATTAATTAATTGTGTTTGGTGCTTGTTTATTAAGTGTGACTGTGGAATAAGCTACCATGGTGGTGGTGGTGGATGGTATTGGTGGATGGTGGTGGTGGTGGATGGTGCCTTTTTCAGAGATTAAGGAGATTTGTGCAATGTGGAATAGGGTGCAGGCATTTGCTGAAAAATATCACTCTGAGCAAGCTGAAACAAGCCATCTCTGCAATAAGTTCAGTGACAGAACTATATATCCCATTTTAGGGAAATTTTAAAGAAGGGATGTAACCCCAGATAAGGACTTGTTACCTAAAGTCTTTATGGAAGGGGATTCCCCTTCCAAACACTAAGTGCTCCCTCTCTCCTCCTCCCTATCTTACAGATGCCATCAGCAATCTTCAATAAAGGTAAGTAAAAATGTTATTTTATATGTTTATTTAAATGTTTATTTATCTATTACTAATTGTACTATGTATGTTTGTTGTGTGTATGTAAATCTATAATTAATCTCTATAAAATGTATTTTTTGTGAGTATTTTTGGGTTTTTGGAACAAATTAATTGTATTTACATTATTTCTTATGGGAAATATTGCTTCAAGTTTTGAACATTTCAACTTTAGAACTAGCTCCTGGAATGGATTAAGTTCGAAACTCGGGGTTCCACTGTAATTAAAAACCATTGCATGAGCAAAGTGCTGTAAAGTGAAGTGCTATAAAATGAGGCCCATCTGTATTTACCACACTTCGCACTCCATCTGCATTTACGTTCAAAACTCCTTTGTCTCTAATTTTCCCATTTTTTCAGTTTGATTTTGATTATGTATAGGAGGCCCTCCACATTAATGAAGGTTAGTGGATCAAGAACCTCGCAAATCTTGAAAATTCGTGAATGTTTGGTGCGCAAATATGTTGTAGGGAAATATAATAATACTGTACTGTAGCGTTTGCAAATATTTTGATGCGCAGATATATTGTAGGGAAATATAATAATAGCATTTGCTTAGCCTAACAATACTGCTTCCTTAGCCTATTGAACCACGAACAATCATAAAACACTCGAAAACATCGTAAAATATTGTATGTATATACATGTTATGGTTTTATAACAAATAATGAACAAACACAACACTCAGCACTCATAGGGTTGGGCAGACGAATTCTGACAACTTGTGATGATGATAACATTGACATTGTTGATGGTTGTTAGTTAGAGATGCAGTTACTGATGACAGTTGAATGGAGGTGATTATATGGAGTGTAATTGCATGGCATGATGAGTCTAGTGTGTGGATTCTAACTCTTCACTGCCAGTGTCACTGCCGACATCGCTAGAGATAGAGTTAGCAACGGAGTCAGATTCTGCCATGGGTTGAGGTTCAGGTGAGGCTGTAGGGGTAGTGGCAGGCTTCCTTGTGCAGAATATTGTGATGGGCAACTGAGACCCTTTCCTCTTCATATCTACAAACAGAGTTTTGTAGGGAATTATGTTCTTATCAACGTCATTCATCACCTTCAAAGCCCTCAACATTGATGAGTTTGTCGTAAAAAATTGTTTGAGTTGTGCTGTCATTCTCATCAGATGCCCTAGTTTTTCAAGGGTGAGGGCTTGAGGTTGATTGGCCTCAGCAACACTCTTCTCTTCTTCATCCTCACTCTCTGCCTGCACAATCTCCAACAATTCTTCATCATTTAGGCCCAGTGCATGTTCTTCAATCAGTTCTC